TATATTTGTTTGTATCAGGCTTGAAAAAGGAAAAAGTAATGTAAAGTTCAAACATCATTTAAAATACTGGAAACCTGGGAGGAACGAAGTCACTCGACCATAGGGAGAGCTCCTTCGTCTCCTCTCATTTTAGTCGAGCCTACTTCTTCACCTCGATTCCCTTTTTTGTTTATTTCATCATATGCCTAAATTAAAAATGTTTGTATAATTAACATAACATTAAAAGTACTCAAAATACGTAAGTATTCATGGTATATTCTGTAATTATCTTACTTTTTTTAACACCTTTTCTCTTAAAAGTATAAATTGGTACCTATTGTCACTCCCTAAGCGGGCTTGGATATTGTACTAAGAGTATTTTGGCAATTCAAAATTTTCCAAATACAAAAGGAGGAAAGTCTAAAGCTCGATAATCAATGAGTATCTTAAGCTGGGATAACACGACTAAAAGATAATGAAGTTGAGTGAAATTGTAATTAATGCTTCACTCTGTCTTTGAATGCTTGATAATCGCATGGCTCACAGAAGTATATGTATTGAAAAAAGTCTATAAATTGGAAATGCTGAGATGTGGAATTTATCTAGACTTGGAGATATTAGTTATTGGGTGAATTATTAATTTTTTATTTTAAGAGCACGTTCTCAAAATTCTGCGGTTACATACAAGAATGAAGGTTGTCAAATTGTGTAATGAATCTTATTTAGTTTCAACATGATAGCAACACGACTAAGTTATGCTCAATCATTGGAATAGACAAGATATTGTTTGGACATAAACATGGACATGAACATGACGACACGACACCTGGAAGGACAAACACTATGCACCCTTATTTTTGTGTTTGTTTGTGTTTGGTTATTGTGTCTTGTCGAGAATTGCCAACCCGTAATATATATGTACATATAATATATCGTTGATCATTATTCTTTTTCCATTTCATGAATTAATAGTGCATGTGTTGAGTAATGGAAATATGTATATGTATATATAGCTAAATACGAGATACTTTCATTTTTAATCAATTGGAAGCAGTTATGAGATATATGATATTGTTATTCGATGTCAATCTAGTTTGTATCGCTAACAATTTGCCAACGTAAGTATTGAAGATATATGCACTGAAGCTTTTGAGTGAAATGACAAAGGCATCACCTAAGTATAGATTTCATGGGGACATAAATCAATGCGGACATATATTACTCATTTTTTCTACATATGTAAGTTATCTTAGATAATTAGACAACTATTGATAAATAAAATTTAGAGTGATATATATTATTGTAGGATTATTGGTAAAAGCATTGTTTTTTTTTTTGTTTGATGAAAATGGGCTCGAGAAATAATTATTATTAATCAAATATTTTATTTTAATATAGAGATCTTGATTTTATGTTTTTTTTCCTCTTTATTCTTTTAATATGTGGTTCTTGAGCTACAGGGTTATTAATTAGTCGAATATTTTAAATATAAAAGTGTTATTGTGACTTCATGTTCTTTTTCTCTTTGTTCTCTTGGTATTTTGT